AATGTGAATTGTATGTTAATGCACTTAACTTTGGTAGTTCGTTGTTTATTTACACACTAACGCGATTATTTACAATTTTTATTTTATTTTTTTTTTGGAGGGAAAATGAGAATGAAACTTTTCTTCCCCTCCCCTCCCCCCCCTTCAATCCGCCCCTTGTAAATTTTTGAAAAGAAAAATTTTCTTTGGTCGTTAAAAATGATTTAAATTTTAAATGTCGGTCGATCCTTAATTCATTCATTCATTCATTCATTCATTCACTGAGAAATGTTCCATATCGTTTGAGTTGGAAAATTTGTAAATTGACCGTCTCCTCCCACGACTTGTGTTATTTGACTCCAGTTTTGTTGATTCCATTCGACTCCCGCTGGAATGGCTATGGCCGTCACGCCCATGTCGTTTCTCTTCCCTGCTTTTTTCACGTTCGACGTGAGTATGGTCGTCGGATGAACGACTTTTGCCATCGTTAACGGCACTGACACTCCGATGTTTGGCAAATGTACGTTCGTACCGTGTTGAAGTATCGTGTAATTTTGATTTCCCGTCACTGCGAACGAAATCATTTCAATTAAGTTTCCAAAATACCCTTCCCTAAATTAATTTATCGTTCATTTATTTACCTGGAGTTATGACGCCTATATTTTGATCGGTAACCGCATTCGTTATCGATACGTCGTCTGCTCTCCTTTGAACTAATATCGATTGAGAATCTTTCACTGGTCGAGGATTTGCATTTGTTGTTGTTGTTGTCGCGGCCGCAGCAGCTACGGCTGCTGCCGCTGAGGCATCTTGAACAATTATTTGACCATCTTGTACCCACGATACGTTGACCGGATCCCAAATGACTTGAGTTCCTAACAAAAAAAAAAAAAAAAAATCATCGTCATATTTTTCACATAATCGAATCCGAATTGACATTTATCCCCCCCCCCCATATTCTATCTAACCTTCCATAACGCTAGAAAGTTCTATGATTTGATTTTCGTTATTTTCTACTTTTGCTACGAACGCGTTTGCATTTATCTCTTCGCACGGTTCAACTTTAATTAATTTTTCAGTCTTAAATTGTTTCTTTTTAGCGGCAGCTAAATTTTTCTTTTCTAACGTGGCAGCTGATTTTAATTGTTTTTGTGTTATTTTATCAATGGCAGCCGTTATTAAATCTATAGGAACACCTGAAAAAAATTTATTATTATTATTATTAACAATCGTTATTTCCACGATGAATTATTAGGTCTCAAAGTGCGAGTATATTTAAAAGGAAAAAATTTTATTATTACCATCTTCTCTAGCTATGGAATCTTTGAGTTGATTGATAATACTTTTCAAACTATTACAACAACCTGTCAATATTGATATATTTGTGCATTTTGTTATTAATTCTGAATTTAACATGACCACAGCTTCTTGAAATTGTTCGTGTAATTTTAAAACTTTTTTTGCCGGATCAAATTGTCTTTGTTTTGGCTTTTTAGGAATTTTTAATTTCGCTTCATGATTATGAGATATGTCTAATGAGATTACTATACAATAACGATTAATCGATTCTACAGGTTTATTATTTAAAAAATCATTTTTTAACTGATCAATGGCCTGAAATGAATGAATCCAATTATTAAAAATGTTTAAACTTATTTAAAACCATAATAATAATAACTTTTGTGTGACATAAATCATACCACTTTTTTCTCTCTCCAATTATTTCTCGAAACTAAATAATCTTCACTTGGGAAAACTTTAATTTTTTTAACAGTCATTCTAGCTTGACAACCAATTTTTTTAGTTATTTTAGGTTTTCTCCTTTTTTTCGATAAAGGATCTCCTTGCCTAAACTGAAAAAAAAAATAGTAAAACAGTTAACCAAGTTTGGTTAGTTTTGTGAAAAACGAAAATTAGTTTTTCGACATTTGTCTTAAATTTTTCAAAACAAACCATTTCATCCGGATATTGTTTAGAACCATAATATTTAATTCCCTGTGAGCATGTGTAATAAATAGTCGTTTCAACTGTAAAAGGTGAACCGAAAAAAGGTACTGAAACATCTGAACTACTTTTAAACATGAGACTTCCTCTTCCTGGTAACTGTTTTTCTTTTTTGGTGTTATTGTCATCATCATCTTTATCATTACTATTATCAGTCTTGCCTTTGGAATTTTTACCTGAAATTTTTAACAATTCATTAACTCGCATGAACGATTCATTTTTCAATTTTAATTTTACACATTTATTCATATTAAACCCCCATTCAAATTGTTTATAGGAATTAAATGTAACATAACAAAAAAGACAATATTAATAATAACTAATTAATTAATTAATTAAACATCAGTTAAATTAAATCTTTTTTTAAAAGAAAAATAAATTACAAGTTCTCCTCATTCATTAATAATTTAAATTTTTTGAAAAATCGTTACGTGATAAAAGTATAGCGTAGATTGATTGATTTATTTATATAATTAACATACAATTTTCATTTTTGATTTTGATCATACAAACAAGTTCAAATGTTTAACTTTATTAATACATAGATTTAGAAAGAAAAAAAAAAAAAAAAAAATGTATTAATAAAATTCAGTCTTTTACCTTTTCCAGAATATGATTCTTTTCTAGAACTCCTTATCGTAAAACTATAACCGAAATTTTTTAAGGCAGCTCTAAATTCTGTATATTTATCATCTGAATCAATTTGTCCAGTTGCAAAATTACCTTCTACCTGCAAATTGTCTATGTACTGTGTCAACAGATCAACAAACTTCGACATGTTTGTTATGACACTGCCTTCTTTATTACCCTCTTACCGTTTGAATTTTTTAACGATTAATGCGATCTCTATCGGGAATTTTTAAAAATAAAAAAAAAGTTTATTAAATTTTTTTTAAATTTAAATTTTGTATAAATTCATAGTGTGTTTATTTTTTCATTTGAATAATTTTACATTCCGGGGGGGGGTAGGGGTAGGGAGAGGGGAGGGGGTAACGTGGTAAATAATAATAATAATACATAATTTTATTAATTCTATATAAAAAAAAAAATAACAAACGATCATCCGTCGAATCATCATCATCATCATCATCATCATAATTTATTTTTTTCATTCGATTCTTTTTCCCATTAATTTAACAGTTTTAGTGGATTCGATTTTAAAAACGACCTCACCATTTTCATCTTTATAATCATCGTAAACAATTTCCGCCAATAATTCAAATCCGGCTTTCGTAGCGGCAATTTGCGATGCAATAGCAGTGAAAACCGTTACCGTTGATTTTATTCCCGTTGCTTTACATAGCGGAAATCTGAAACGTTATCACACTCGTACATATCGCTGATAAGTCGAAGGTTAAAAAAAAAAAAAAAAAAAATTCGGCATTGAGTTTTAATAGGCTTTAAATATTTGTAAATGTCTGTGGAAAAAAAAAAAAAAAAAAACTTTTATTGACCTTGCTTTAAGTATTTCGTGACCTAAATTATGTCCTCTGAACGCAGGATGAACGGTCAACCCCAACGCATATAAAAATTCATTAACCCCATAATATTTATAAGGATCATTCATTTCTTCTATTTTTTCTAGAATTTTAAATATTTTTCGCGTTTGTTCTGATACGTTCTGAAAAATTAAAAATTTTTATGTGGCACCCTTATTAAATAATAATAATAACGATAAATTTTTTAAGGTACGTACCTTATCATCATCATCACCTTCTTTTTCACCTTTTGTTATGACACCCGTTATGTTACAACCTGCCAATAGGGGTAAATTCCCATCTCCTAATTCGTTTAAATTTTCAACGATGGCGATCAATACCATTTTTTTATTTAAATATTCATGGATGTATTTTAAAAATGCTTGAACGTCGTTATTGTTCTTTTTAAAATCTGTTCATATTCAAATAAATGAATGAATGAATGATTGATTGAATGAATGAATGAATGAATTAAAATTAAAGGATTATTATTATTATTACTTATGCTTTTCGATAGAGGTTCATCCCTTAAAAAAAAATCCGTTACGATTTGAATGACTTGATCTCTCCATTCTTCTGTAAAATCTTGTATTATAAATTTTGGTTTGATTCCGTTGGCCATAGGTTTATTACTTTCGTATTTAGACCACGTTGTAGGTATTGGTACGTTTTTAGGTCTTTCCCAAGTCAAATTCGGACTCATATTTTTTTTTTTTTTTTACCTTAACGAAAAAAATAATTTCCCAGTGTCAAAAGAACAAAAAAAATATTGCAAATTTTTGGCACAAAAAATTATTTAAAAAAACATAAAATGTCGTCGACCCAAATTTTTCTTTTTTTTGGCACTTTTTAAATTTATTTTATTTTTAAACAAAAAAAAAAAAAAAAACAATTTCCGTGTAAAATAAAATAAGAAACGATTATTACGCGGTAATCGAATCAATTTGTTATTAGATACCAATTCAAAATCGATAATAATCTAATTCCACGTCAATTTTTTTTTTAAATTTTAATTATTCAAATTACATTTCATTTATAAAACATTTTTTTTTGTTTACCGCTTGTTTAACAAAAAAAAAAAATCGTTTTTGCAAATTTATGCGTTGACGTAAAATAGTCGTAATAATAATAATAATAATAATAATAATAATAATAATAATAATAATAATAATAATAATAATAAACAAGGTAACACGTATATTTATTTAATCACGGTTTGATTGTCATGATAAAAAAAAAAAAAACGTTTTCAAATAGTCGTCGACACGATACAAAAATTTATGATGTATTATTATTATTATTATTTACTTTTAGTGATAACGTACGCAGGTAGTAGTTATTGCGACAAACCCAAAAAAATAAATAAATGAAACCATTTATTATTAATATTATTATTAACACTATTTCTTATTTATTTATTTTTTCTTCGCGTTTCTCATCATCACTCAAAAAAATATTAATAATAATTAAATATTTAATTGAACTACCTCGATCGAAACTTGTTTTTTTTTTTTTTTAACGAGCCAGTATTATTATTATTATTATTATTATTATTATTATTATTATTATTATAATTATTATTATAAAATTATTTCTGAATCATTCATTTATTTATTGATTTTGTTTTAAATGTTTTGAATTTCGCGCCAAAATTATTTCATATACATAAACACGTTAATATACAAAAAAAAGAAAAATTTGTTCGTTTTTTTTCCCCCAATTTCTCGACGTGATAATAATAATAATAATAAAGGGTAGAGAGAGAGGGAGGAGGAGGACAGGAGAGGAGAGAGGGGGGAAAGGTGTAGAACGAACATAATAATAATAATACACGAGACGACGATTTAAAAAAAAAAAAAAAAAAAAAAAATTTCGCAAGGTGACTTATTAGCAGAATTATTTTAAAAACATTTTTATGACTTTTTTTTTTTAAATAACAATAACAAAATTATCGTTAATTCACTTACGAAATAATAATAATAATAATAATACGAACGCGAAAAAAAAAAAAAATTTTTAAACAACAACAACAACGACAACAACAACGACGACGACGACAACGACAAACTCGTTAATATGTTGAATATAAAAAGAAGACTAAAAAGTGTAAATAGAATTTTTTTTTTTTTTTTTTTTTTCAATACCAATTCACGACGTTTTAATTGATAATTGATTCAGTGCCGCATCTTATAATTTTTTTCCATCTTTTTTTTTTTAAATTTAAATCTAAACCGCACTCATAATAATAATGATAATAATAATATTAATTCCAAGACGGGAAAAATAATAATAATAAAAAACGAACAAACGAAAATTTTTTTTTTTTTGTAAATCAGTTTAATGAATTATTTATTTATTTATTTATTATTTCGAACAATGAATTAATAATAATAATAATAATAATAATAATAATAATGTAATCGTGTATTTATGAAATTTAAATTTAAAACAAAAAAAATTGTATTATTATTATTATTATTATTATTATTTGACAAGTAAAATTTTTTTTTTTTTTAATAAAAGAAAATTTTTCTTATTATTATTATTATTATTATTATTAATTTTTTTTTTAAGTTTGAGGCCCCGAATGACATTTTAAAGTTTTGAATTTAAGAAAATAATAATAATAAGAATAATAATGATAAATGTAAATAAGCTGCCCCACCGTCGTAAAACGATCATAATAGTAATAATAATAATAATAATAATAATATAAAATCCAACGTTTGTTGTACGTACTCTGCGTACGTATATTTTACTTTATTTATTTATTTATTTATGTATATACATGTAAAAATTTGTCTATTAAATACTATTTTTTTATTTATACGTGACGATACTATTTAACGATAAATAACTATTTCAATAATTAATTAATAAGTTTAATAATAACAATCCAAATCAAATTTAAAAAAAAAAAAAAAAAAAAAAAAACAAAAATCAAAAAATTATTTATATGTACATGTAATTATTATTATTATTATCTGAATGCATTTTTCAAACACTCTTAAAAAACAAAATGGAGTCGTCATTTATTTAAAATTTTTTCCAACATTTTTTTTCTATATTTATTAATTATATAAAAGGAGAAAAAAAAACGGCCGCGAAAAACAGACGAAAATTCGGGCGCGAGTTCGGAAAATTCCCTTTTGTTTACTCAGTTTAAAAAAAAAAAATGGCGGAAAAATAAACCGGAAACGATTATATTCATATCCGGAGTGCAAATAACATTAATATCGTATCATCACGATATATCGCGATAAACGATCGTTTACCATTTTCATTTTTATTTTTTAAATAAATATACATTTGACAAAATGACGTAATTAATAATAATAATAATAATAATAATAATAATAATAATAATAATAATAATAATTGAAAAATAATTGTTTTAAAACAAAACAAGAAAAAAAAAAAAAAAATTAATTCGAATATATATATGCATGTGAAATGATTATGTCGTAAACATTAAATTTAAATTCTGTTTTTTTTTTTTTAATATAATTTTTAACGTAACTTTAATTAAATACATTATCTATTATTATTATTATTATTATTATTATTATTACTATTGAATTTATTTTTAATAAGATATAGAACGTGGTTAACACACGTTATAAATACTAAAAAACGTGAATGAAAAAAAATCAAAAAATCATTTTAAATGAATTTTTTCTTTTTCTTTTTTTTTTTTATTTATTTAACAATATTATTTGTCGTCTGCTTTCGTATTCATTTGTTTTTGTTTTTAAATTTTTCCAAGAAAAATAATCAAACCTTTAGCAAAAAAGAAAAAGAAACGAAAACAAACTACATAATTTTATTTTTTATTTTATTTTTTAATTTCTTTTAACCTTCCATTCATTTTCGTTTAATTTAATTTTATCTATGAGTGTATCAATCAATCAATCAATCAATCAATCAATCAATCAATCAATCGATCAGTAATTGAACCAATAATTATTTCTATTTTTACAAAATAAAATCAGGGCCTCGTTAAAAAAATCAAAATGAATTTTTTTTTTTTGCATTTTTTTGCATTTTTTGCTACTTTTTAAACTTTAGTAGTAGCGTCATCATTATTTGTAGTAGTAATAATAATAATAATAATTCGGTATAATAATTAATAAATTTAATCATTTTTTTAAATATTATTATTCTATATATCAAAAGGAAGATCGAATCAAACTTTTATTTAAAGTTTAATTGTAAAAATTTTTTTTTTTTTATTACCTGAATTATTATCATCATCATCATCATCATTATTATCTTTTCGGGACGTGATAATAACGTGACGTTTTTATTTTTTTAAATTGATTTTCAAAACTCATATATAAAAACATAATTTCAAATTTTTTTTTGTTTTTTTTTTAAAATCATTTCCGGTTAGACTTTAATTTATTCATCATCATCATCATCATCTCTAATTGTAATTTAATCACAGTGCAACTTTATACACAACTGAATTTATTTATTTTTTATTTAGTTTTATTATTATTATTATTATTATCAAATTACAGATCTATTTTTTTTAGATATTCATTTATTTATTTATTTATTTATTATCATTATTATTATTAAAAATAAATTTATCGATTTGATTTTATCTCTTTACTTATTTCCCTCTCGAGAAAAATTGTTAAAAAAAAATTTTTCGTTTTTTTTTTTATAAAAAAATTATCGTTACAGACGCAACAACAACACGTCGGTGTCAAAAAAAAAAAAAAAACACCGACGTAAAAAATAACGATAATAATAATAATATTAATATTAATAATAATAATAATAATAATAATAATAATAAAAACAACAATAACACAAAGTCAAAAAATATCATTTATAAATGATTTCAACATTGTTTTTTTTTTTTTTTTAAATATATATATATATATACATATTAATGAAATTCGTGCACGTGCACGCGTGTGAATGTGTGTTTACACACGTGCACACTCATGCATGTAAATATATATATATATATATATATTTTCAATATAAAAATATTCTTTTTATTCTCTCTCTCTCTCATTTATATATAAAAAAAAAAAACAATTAAAACTTTTGACAAATCGTTATTTGCCATAATCATCATCATCATCATCATCATTTTTTATTCTCTCTTACAATAATAATAATAATAATAATAATAATAAAATTGTACTTAAAAGACTCTCTCTTTTTTACTTATTAAAATAAAAAATATATATATATATTGATCGAAGCAAATTTATATAAATAAATAAATAATAATAATAGCAAAAAAAGAAAGAATCAACGATAATATAAACAATATCGTTGTTGTTAAACCGGAAACAGCAAAAATAATAATAATAATAATAATAATAATGATTTGCTTCGACCAATATTTAATTAAAAAAAAAAAAAAACGAAAAAAAATTATAAAATAAAAACAGTCTTTTATCTTCTTCTACTTCTACTTCTTCTTTCTTTCTCTTTCTATTCCATTAATATTAAGAATAGTTAATATTATATAAATATATATATATATATAAATTACATACGTACACTCATATACAATCTCCTCGTGTACATATTATATATACATATTTTTTATTTATATATATATATATATATTTCGTTCGCGAATTATTCCCCATATTAATATTTAACCGTTAAAAACGATAGAGAAATTTTTTCCTTTATTATTATTATTATTATTATTATTATTTAATATTATTAATTAAAATCGATTATTAACGTGTATTCTCACGTGAACTTTGCTCGTGATTAATCATTTTTTTTTTCTACGCGGCCTTCGACGATTCCTTCCTTCCTTTTTTTTTTCATGCATAATTATCATTCGTAATTTAATAATAATAATAATTAATAATAATAACTAATAATAATAATAATAAAAACTACGCGCAAACGTTTCACGTTTTTTACCGCGTTCGATTGGCACATTTTTTTTTTTTTTTAAAAAAATTCTATCGTCCGTAGCGAGAGGAGATAGTTTCCGTTTCCGCTTTTCAACGCTTCGCGACTTCCTATTTTACGTTGCCTTTTTCGAACGATTTCATCATTCGTTTTTTCCCGCTAAAAAAAAAAAAAAAAAAGGAAAATGTGATTCCTCGAATCGCATTTTCAAAAAAATTTTGTTTCCCCTCCCCCATTCGTTGAATCCGCCATTTTCAATTTTTAAAAAATTTCAGAAAAATTAATTATTTATTTATTATTTTATTTTTATCATTTATTATCGTTCAACTTTTCGCGATTTGAATTAACCGCGTTTTTTTTTTTTTTTTTTCCGTTAACGTAAATATTATTTATCATTTTTTTGTTCATTTATATTTCTTTATCTATTTATTTTTTTACTCTAGGGGATTTTTTTCTTTCTTTTTTTTTTCATTTGCTCTCTCTTCGTTTAATCCCTTATAAACATATTTTTTTTTCTTCTTTAAAAAAAAAAAAAAAAAATCTAATCGTTAACTAACTTAAACTAATCTAAATATTAGAATTACAAGTAGTAGTAGTAGTAGTAGTAGTGGTAGTCATCAATTAAAAAAAATGTAATTAAACAAAATAACAAAAAAAAAAAAAAAAAAATTGTTTTTTTTTTTTCTCTTTCTTTTTCTTTCTTTCTTTCCCAAATCACAATTCGTTTCATTTCTCTCTCTCTCTCTCTCTCTCTCTCTCTCTCTCTCTAATGGAACACTCCGCGTTCCTTTCAAATAATAATAATAATAATAATAATAATAATAATAATAATAATAATAATAATAAAATTATCGATTCGCAAAAAATAAAATAATATGACTACGACAAGAGTAAATATATTAAACTGTCCTTTTTTTAAAAAAAAAATTAAAAAAAAAAAAAAAAGATTTAAATGGTAAAACTTGGACCACGTTTTTTTTCTTTTTATTTTCTTCCCCCCCCCTCCGTCAGCGAGTAGTGAGCGACGCTGTCGGGATAAGGAGCCTGATAGAGAGAGAGAGAGACTTTTAGTCGACCGCGTGATCCCCTTGACCCCTTTCCAATGAAACGGCCGCAACTTTATTTTCAATCTCGTTCGTGGATGCATCTTCAAATTGTTCGACAGCTTCTTCCGAGCTCGACGTTCCCAATGTATCCCTGTACCAAAGACAGAAACAGAGGAATAAAGTAAACACGGGTTGTTCCCGATGAGTCATTAATACTAATAATAATAATAATAATGATTTTTTTCTCACCCCATTTTCTCTATATTCGTATTTTCGTCTGCTCCGCTTCTCCCTCTCGTCGTCTCCTTCTTTTTTTCCAATTTTTTATTTTTATTTTTTTTTATTCCAGGTCCGAGTCTCTTTTTGTAAAGTCCTTTGACGGGAACTCCCGTGGGACAATAGTTTGCAAAAACTAATTTATCAGAATGATAATTTCCTCTGTTGAACCGCCTCATTTCTTCTAAAACCGGAACCTAAACAAGGTAAGAGAGAGGGGTGGGGGAGAAAAGAAAAACGTCATTCGTATTTCAGTTCAATAACGGGGAGGGGGGGGAGAGAAATGGGGAAATTAAAATTAAAAAACTTACTTGTGACGTAGGCATTCTAGGCCGGCTCAGCGAATAATTCGGGCCCCAATTTCCGACGACGATTCCGGCAACCTCTAATTGACCGCCCCTCGATGGTATCGGTCTCCTTGGAGGACCTCTCGGATTCAATCTCCTGGACACGTCTAAATCAGCCGGATGCAATCCGGCCGGAGGAATATTCGACACGGTAGGATATTGAACTCCTGAAAAACGGTTCATTGATTTCCGTTAAAACGTCATTTTATCGATTCGTCAAGCGTACCTAGTAAATGCATTATTATTATTTTTTTTTTACCAGGCATGGCAGGGATTCTCCTCCGGGCATACTGAACGTTAAGATTCTCCAAAATAGCATAACGCATTCTCTCGACTTTCACTTGCATATCTAAACTATGATTACACAATTCCTACAACAAAAAGAAGAAACCTCTTGAAATTGCGCCTGATACATTCGTCATAGGCAAAAAACGACATTAATATAATGACGAGGACGTCGATTTCGAAAAAAAAAAAAAAAAATCATTTATACGAACATGAAGAGATTTCACGAGGTCCGTTTTGGCTAGAATATTATGAAATAGTTTTCCGTCGAAATACAACCAGGGGCAGCATAGAAGCCAAGGGATGGGAGCTCCGCATGCATCGTTAACCAACAGAGCCATTTCGACGCCTTGCATGAATAACGAAGCCAATTGAACGGCTCGACTGGAAACGAGTTGCAATTGAAGGTCCTGAGTGAATTCGGCATTCATTAGATCCGGAGAAAAAGCGGTAACTATAAAAGCATCGAGTTCTTGACGTCTCAAAATCGGAGGTTTCACTTGAATCAGGTATCTATGAAATTAATATCATCATTTTTAATCGATCAAAACCCGAATCGCACGACAATTTCGAACGTTTTCTCCTCAACGGCCGTACCTGAGAACGCACGCCATTATTATTAAATGCTGCGGAACGTAGGAAGGACAAACCATAAAAGTCCGATCCGATTTCATACAAGTCAAAAACGCTCTTAATTTTCTTCTCATTTCGTCGACCGTTCCCCTATACAATTAAATTTTTTCTAATTAATTTCACTATCATCATCATCATCACTCTTAAATTCGAAACTTACGCAAACCAAAGCCTTTGAACGGTAGGTACGGCCCAACCTACAGGTTCGGCTTTAACTATATCAGGTTCCGTGTATTGATTTACAGCCGTGCAAACCCATTCTCTAATTAATATTTCTGGTGAGTTATTAGCGGCCTGATCATCTTAAACAAAAAAAAACGATCCGTTATGTCGAAATCAATCAGATTTAACGGAAAAAATTAATTAATTAATTTTCACTCGACTCACTATTTCCGTTTTCTTTGTTATCCTTATTTGCCAAAAACATTCTATGGTGCAAATTAAATAATATCGCGTAAACGTTTTGCCTTATGGGCTTATAAACAGAATGTATACTTTGCCATTCCCGACTCGTGTCTTCTTCGATTAGAACGGGAAGTTTGATTTCACCCTAACAAAAAAAACGACCGTTATTATTATTATTATTATTAGCGAAACAACACCTTTAGTTTTACCTGAGTCAAAATTTGATATATGAGAGGAGACATGAGTCCTTTTTGATGCCTTTCACATGCAGTTCTGAGGACTTCCGGAGGAACAGGCGGAATTTTAGCTTGTTTAAGAACATTGGAATTGATGATATTCGTACTCGACTGCAAAAATTAACAAAATCAAAAAAATTTTTGTTTTCTTTTTCGGTAAATCGAATAATAATAATAATAATAATAAAACCGTACGAATACCTTTGGAGGTGATGAGGCAGCAGTACCATTGTTTCCATTCAAAAAAGTTTCCTCCGACTCGAAACCCTTTTTTCTATCCGTTTCGTTTTTCGTTTTATCCATTTCGGGTTCGGCCATGACCGAGTTAAATTTAACAGGTTGAGCTAATGCCGTTGCTCGTTTGTAGGCCGCAACGCTTCCCGCCTGAAACGTACGTTAAATTATTACAAAACGCTGCACGCTGCTGTCAATGCACGATAAAGAGACAACCATTTAATTTTTTACCTCGCTTTCCACCGTTTCCGAGGCAAATTTTGAACTATCGACTTCATCATTATCATCCCCTTGTTCGCTACCCGGTATCTTTTTCTTCTCATCAATTTTCTGCATTTGCATTTTGTTTTTTACGTCTTAAAGAGAGAGAAAGAGAGATAGAGAGATAGAAAATTAATTAATTGATATAAAACAGTCACTTGGGATATGAATTAAACTCACTTTTTCTCGGTCTGTATTTAAGAAAACCGTCTTTGGTACCGTTAAGATAATACTGAACACTTTCGACAAAAGCTTGCCTTCTTTTTTGAACGTTACTATTGCCCGGACCAAATATTTCTACGGCGAGGGCTTCCAAATTTTCCGTATTTTCCAATGTCTTTACGTACGCCGCAACTTTCCGAATGGTTTGGTCCAATGGATTCTAAATGTACGTCACAATCAATTTTTTTTAATTTCTACTTGTAACCATGATATCAATGTTACATTGTTTGTGGGATCCCTCCCCCCCCCTACCTTGCTTGGAGAAACTCCAATTTTTTTGTGAAACTGTGATAACTGTTCTTCTGATAATAAATAATTTCCAAGTAAAGCTGCAAGAATACATAATTTTTCTGATGTTAGCTCGAGTCCTTTGGCTAACTGTGAAATGAGGAACTCTTTAGTTTCGATTAATCCCTAAAAAAAAAAAGGATAATAAATATTAATTTTCGAATTGTCAAATGTTTTTTTATTTAAACTGACTAAATAATAACTAACCTTAAGTGTTAATTTTAGATTTGCGGCGCTAAAATATCTCGGAGGATCGAAAACAATATATTCGGCATCGTCTCCTACGATACCGTGTAAATTATTTTCCCGGCAGTAAGCAAGAACTTCTTGATGATGATCATCCATTGAACAAATCTAACAAAATTAGAATAACAAACATTAATTTAATGAAAAATATATAAAAGCATAAGAAAGCAAATTATGTTGGTATATATTACCACTGGCACATTGCAATATCTAAGAACCATTCGCAAGGCAGTGACCAAACCGACAGGTGGAATCCACCAAACTTTTGGAGGAGGAGTTCCTTTGTTCTGAATATGTCTCAAAACTAAATTAGCTTTAACTTTATTTTTAAGCTGTTTTTGAGTCCATTCATTAAGTCTTTGAGGTTCAAGAGCTCCATTAAAAGCGACAGTCAATTCAATATTTCCCTTTTGACATGAAACAATCAAATGAGAAAGATACTGAAACATTCGATTCCACTGTCCACCACATGTCCAGTCTAAAATAAAAGTATGATATCAAAAGTTCATCATTCGGTAAGTGATTATTAAAATTTGTTTCAATTTATAATTTAAATATAAATAATAAAAACAATTTGATATGATAATGATTATTATTTATTTTAAATAATACAACAAAAGTAATTAACTTTTCATTTTTAATTTTGTTTAGAGAAACAAAATGATAATTACAATGAATAGTTTTTTGAGATAACCCAAAACTAATTGTAAGAAATTAAGTTGTAAGAATTCCAAAGACATTTTGAAATTCTTACCTATCAATGTTTTAAATGAAATGCGCGCCAGAAATAATAACAATAATAATAATAATAATAAGGAAAAGAAAACAAACCTGAAAAGTATCCACCGTACAGCCTATCTAAACAGCATTCAGCATCCAAAACTAAAAACAACTTCTTACTATTTGGCTTATTTCTATTTTGTTTATTAGGGCGAGAAAAACTACGAGCAATCTTTAAAAGTTCAACTGATACGGCACCTCCTTCCACGTGTTCTGCTTCAAGGAAATTTTGTAGGTTTTGCACCCCCATTGTGAATATTCAATTCAAAAAGACTCACCACAACAAATAATAAAATATTTCTTAAAAACTGATTGGAGTTAATAGAAAAAACCTGTAAAATAACAAAATAAAACGGCTTATTTAAACATGTGAGGAATTAAATGGCTTGAATTGAGAAAAACGAACCGGCTTTTGATCAACGCCATTTTGTTTAGACAAGGCGAGGCAACAAATGATTTCAAAAACGAAATTTCACCTTAGTCTTAAAGAGAATAAAAACGAATATAACGCGATTAAACACTATTATTATCTTGATTTATTTTTAATATGTAAATCAAAAGTATTATTTAAAACTTACATATTAAAGAATCTCTAAACACGAAAGAACATGTTCAAGATGAGAATGGCCATTAAAACAGTGCTTCCTGCTTAGTGACACTCGGCATTCCTCTGCTTACCGGAAATAACTTATTTTCGTTTAATAACGGTTATTAAAACAAAATCTCTGTGTGTTTTTTTATTTAATTTTAAAGTTTTAAATATAAAAAATAAAAATTGCAAAACAGTTAACGTTAATTATTTTAAAAAAGTGATAATATCGCGTTTGATTTTCATAAAAAAAAGTTCACTATGACTTTTTTGTGGTGGCAATAAGCTTTTTAAAAATCGCGCAACCGGAAAAGCGTTAAAAACTTTGAAAAGGCCAACAGTAAGTTTTAAATTTAATTATTATAATTTATAATTTGTTCGGTGTAGTGTTAAAAAGTTACGTTATAAATAAGTGTTTGTGATAAAAAGTGTCCTTAAGTTGAATAAAATAAATGTGTAGTTGCATTATCGATGCAGACGAAGAAAATATTTAGAAATGTAACGTTCTAAAACGGAGGAGAAAAAATTCAGGTAAGTGGCTTTTTATAATTACATCTATCCTATAAAAAAAAAAAGAAAATTTTCGCATGAAGAATAACGTATCGAATCATTATTAAATATAATTTAGTTTAAACAAATTATAACAAACAGATTATGATAAAACAATAATTACTTCGTATCGTGCGGAGGGTGGGAAGAGAGGGGGGAACCAAAAAACTTTGAAACGATGAGAACTTTCACTGACGCCATTTTGGATTTTTATATGTACGCATATATAATCATGTATGTTAATGTTACATAAAATCTTTCTAGAATGTTCTTTGATTTATCCGTGGCGGTGGTGGTGATGGTGTTGGTGGGGGGGTGGGGGGCTAAAATATTTCTCTTTTAATATAAATTTAATAGACGAAATAAAATTTTAAAAAAACCGTTGATGAATAATTAAAAAATTATTAATTAATGACGAAAATATATATATATGTAGGAATGATGAGAATTGTGACGTCACGTTGCGTGTGAAAAATTCCACACAAATAATAATAATAATGATTAACACGTTAATATTTTTTTTTTTTTTATCATCATCATTATTATTTTCGCGTTTGCATTTGAAATGAAGGAATTAAATTAAATAGGTTTTTAATAAATAAATAAATACGCAAACAAAAATAATAATAGTCATAATAATAATAATTATTATTATTATTAATTTTTAAAAAATTGTCCATCATTTTTTTTTTGCGAGAAAAAAATAAAAATAAAAACGGAAATTTAATAATAATAATAATAATAATAATCATATAAACAAAATAAAAATAAAAAAACAATAATAATAATAATAATAATAATAATTAAAATAAAAATCAATTTCTAAAATGACTAATATTAATTTACATACATATATACACATCTAATATTAAAAAAAAAAAAAAAAAAATAGTAATAGTAGTAGTAGTAATAATAATAATAATAATAATAATGATAATAATAATAAAATTATTATTATTATTATTATTATTACATGCTAAAGAGATAGCAGTTTTAACAGTTTTTAATTTTTTTCTGTTTTTTTTTTTTTTTTTTTTTTTTTTTTTTCGGCGAGTCTAGCTTGCCGAATTATTCCAACAACGAAAGAATTATATATCTGAAGGGGGAGGGAGGGGAGGGGGAAGAAAAAAAATAATAATGATAATATTAAAAAAGGAAAAAGTAGGAAATTCTTCATATTCACATTTAATCCATAGAATAAATGCGTCATCAAAGTAAGATCCGATTACAAAAAAAAAAAAAATAATAATAATGATAATACGGGGGGGGGGGGGGGAAAGGGAAATCCATCCATTTTTTTTTTTTTTTCTTATTCTGTCGCGGATCTTTCTTTGAAAGCTTTGTAATAATAATAATACTTATAAGGATTATGTATAGGCAAGAGGCCCGGTTTTTTTAATTTATACATAAACACATACATACATACATATATGTATGTCGTTTTTTTTTTTTTTTTTTTTTTTTTTTTTTTTTACAACGAAAGGTTTAAATTTAAAGCTACACAACCATTTTATCTATAGTAAAATTTTCTCATCTGAATTTTTTTTTGCAAAATACACGCACCCACGCACTCACACACACACACACACAACCATGCACACGCAATAAGAGACTCAAATAATTATCATTTCATTATATATATATATATAAAAAAAAAACATGTGCATGCGTTCGTGTACATGTTTACACGCGTGTACGCATGCACGTGCATATTTAAATTTACGTCTAATTTGATATTTTGTTTTAAAATACTGTTTTTTTTTTTTTTTGTTTTCGCGGTCAATTAATATTATTAATTATTCGTCAACGGTTCGTTCTTAGGTTAGATATTTCATTTAACGTACGCGAATAATATCCATCTATCTTTACAATAATTTTTTTTTTTTCTTCTGCTTTCTGAACGACATAAATACGTGTAAGCTCTCAAAAGTGAGCCTCTCTCTTTTTTGTTGAGAAATCGACGCGAACGGAAATTTCGTTAGCAAAAACGTGGTCAAATTTTTTTGACTTTAGTTTTTCGTGTGATGTAAGAATGCACCACACCGGTGGTTCAACTGTTGTTGTTCGTATTGGTGCTGCTACCACCGCCACTAATGCTGCTGACGTTTCCACTCGCGTTCGATATGCTCAGATTTCCCGGGAGGGAATTAGTATTTTGACTGTTGCTGGAGGGATTACCGTACATGCCGTACCCGGTTGCAGGCATGTAAGGATTGAAATTAGGCCGGTAAGGATAATTCGGATAAGGAGAATTGTAAGGGAAAAAACTGGGAGTGCTCGAACTCGTGTAGGGTGGACGAGAATACGGAGCGGTGTAAGGATTTTCGGAATTTTGAAAAGTCGTTTCCGGTCTGTGAAAAGCACTGTACATTGAATTGTCGTACGAGGATTGTTGACTTTGAGCCGAAAGAGAAGAATTTGTGCTGCTGCTGCTGCCGCTTCCGCTTCGAGATTGTTGACTCGAATGTTGAGAAGTTTGATTTTGATTCGAGAGTGAAAATCCTTGACTATTGAAGCTAGCTGTACTGGGATAATTGTAATGATACGGATAAGGATTCGGATATGGTGGGTACACGGAGGAAGTGTTCACTGGAGGAGGATTCCTGGACGAGGATGAATTTTGTACGTTTTTAGAAACTGAATTAGAATGAGAATGATGAGATGAATGTGAATTTTCTTTTCTTTTATCTGTTTGCTGAGGTTGTGAAGATGTTTGCGGTGGCGGTGGTTGTTGTGGCTGTGGCTGTTGTTGTTGTTGTTGTGACGATTGTTTCTGTTGTTGTGGTTGCGATTGCTGATGCTGAGATTGTTGTTGCTGCTGATGAGAAGATTGTTGTTGCTGCTGATGAGAAGATTGTTGTTGCTGAGAATTTTGAGATATCACGGAAGAATTTCTACTCGACGGATGATTGTAATGACCAGGGGGGTAAAATCCATCGTACGGCGGCATCAAAGAACTAGGACTTGCACCGTAAGCATAATATCCCGGAAAATAATTCACGTAGGGATCCACGGCCGGATACGATGATTGATTCATCAACCAATTTTGAATGTTTTCATTTCCCGTCGATTGTCCGACACTCGCGTTTATCTCCGTTTTGTCTTCCTTATTTTCGCTTCTGCTTTCACTTTTTTCCTTTCTTATTTCCTCAATGGGAGATGGATTTTCTTTAACTTGACTAGTGAAATTCTGCCGATAATCTTTCAGTGGATTCATTGATAAATATTTAACTTCGGATTCTAATTCTTCTTTACTAGCACCGTCGCTTATTTTTTCCGTCACTTTCCTTAATGTTTCTAGAGAGTCAGTCAATTCGGATTTGGGTTCCGGTTTGTGTTCAGTCTTTTCATTTGAAATATTGACAATTTTGTCGTGAATTATTCGTGGATTTTCCGTCATAGTCATAGATGACGACGATGACGTCGTCGTCGTCGTGGTCGCAATTTGTTCCTTATTGATAATTTTATCTTCTATAATGGTTGGCTCACTCGCATCTAATTTTTTATCCGATGTTATCGTTATGTCTACTTCCGGTATAACTTTTTGCTTGTCTTCCGATTGCGAATTATTATTGAGTACAAACGGTTTCGCTTTTCCCATAATCTGCCTAGATCTCGCCGCATTTATGTTGACGGTAACTTTTTTGTCTGCGAATTTCATGACGGGCTTTACGAAAGGTTGTTTCAATAACCCTGGTCTACCGGCTTGAGAAATTTTCGGAGATGTTCCAACGTTGGGAGTCGTATTCGTTTTTAACGATGATTGTTGAACCGAAGTAGACACATCTACAAGAAAAAAAAGAGCACTCAATTGTTGAATTTGTCTTCAACTTCTCTTCTTTCTTATTGACTTACGGCTTAAGATAAAACAAATCAATCACCTTTTTTGCCTTCTTCGTTTTTCGCGTTACCTCCGGGCCCGTTTTGTCCTACTTTAAAAGCTGATCTTATGGCAATTATTTTTCCATTTTCCAATTGCATGTAAATACCTTTCGGCGATTTCAACACCATGACCCTTTGTCCCGCTTTTAAAACTATCGATGTTTTTTCGGGGGAGCTGGTCGGTATAACGACATCTTAAAAAACAAAAATTAGTGAGACAAACCCAATACGTTGAACTGTTTAACAAACAAAATCCTCGTTGACACTCACCCAAAGGCAGCGTCATTTCTTGCGCAGACATTCCCTGTTTTTGCCAAACATCCGCGGGTATCCATTTCGTTCCTCTTTGCATTTGAGGAGATATTCTCATGTTCATTTCACTTTGCATAGGTCTCACGCTTGCGATGGGTTTGACGAAATTTCTATTTAAAAAAAAATTTTTTTTTTTTGATTTTTCCAATTCGATCCAACCAACTTTATTCATAATAATAATAATAACAAACACAAAATCTCACCTTTGATTCGCATTTGGAAAATACGAATAAATACTTTTAGGTTGATTGGCAGCTTGTTTTTCCAATTCGTAGGATCTTTTAGCAAGTCTTTTCTCGGCTTGTGATAATTTTTTCTCTTTTCGATCGATAAGGAGAGACTCGTGCTTGAACGGTTCCTAATAATAACGATAATAATAATAAAAACAATAGTCAGTGGGTTTGTCTTTGGTCGTAATTAAATCATCATTATTATTATTATTTTCAAACCTTCGATAGTAATTTACTGCATCGCTCCAATAAAATTTTAATTATTTCATCCGTGTATTTATCTTTTAAGTGGGAAAAATCAGTGACGGCCGTATCCTCTTGATCGTCCCAACAGAGATTTGTCACCTGCGAAAAAAGAAAATGGAAAATTTTTCAAAAATTCGTTTTTTTATTTTTTTTTTTTTTACTCGCAACCAGGTCTGCAGGAAAAAAAATTCTTCTTTTCACCTCTTTGATAGATAGATGAGCATCGGGATTTAATTCATCGACGACTCTATCCGCCATTCCCTGCTTGTTCACTTGACGATCGTAAATTTTTTTCTCCAAACAACTGTCCATGACCAACCTGTACACGAAGCACTGCTTACGTTGTCCGTACCTTGAAATAATTAAAATCGTTTCAAATTTTTCGTTGCGAAATTTTTCGGGTTTTTTTTTAAAAATAGTTTTTCAAATACCTGTAAACTCTACAAACGGCTTGAGTATCATGACAGGGATTCCAGGACGCGTCGAAAACGATAACTCTGTTAGCTCCGACGAGATTTATACCCAGAGATCCCGCTCTTGTGGATACTAGAAACATGTGTATGTTAGGATTTGCATTGAATTCGTTAATTAATTTTTCTCTTTCCAAACCGGGAGTGCTTCCGTCCAATCCTGAAAAGGGGAGGAAAAAAGTAATTAATTTTAACTCATTAAAAACAGGGAAAAAAAATTCGAAACTCACGAAAATAATTTTTATTCTTGGTCCAAACTTCTTCTCCTCCTCCTCCTCCTCCTTCTCCTTCTTCTTCTTTGTTAGGAACCTTTTGTTGGTGTAAATAAACTTCGATGAGATCGAGAGTGAGGAGACTCTGACTGAAAACCAATATCCTATCATTCAATTTCACGGATTCGGTAACGATTTGAAAGAAAACTTCCATTTTCGATGAATTTTCTATAACGCCCGTGACGTAATTTTTAAATAAATCTCCAACCTTTTAAAAAAAAAAATCCCCGTTAAAAATTTTACTTTGTGGATTTTGACGCACACACTCACTTACCCAATCGTAAGGAAGTGACGTATCTTCTTTTTTAACCGTCGTTTCCGACGACGTCGTTTTCAACGTTTCCTCTTTTTTCTCCTCTTCCTCCATCGTCTTCGTTCCCTTGCTCTCGTCGAAATCACTTGCGTTCACTTTCGATTCTAAATCATTTTTTTTCTCATTTGTTGTTTGTAAATAATCACAATTTAATTTCTGGTATATTGCACTATTGTTACTCTGAGCCCCCATGTTTTTCCCCTCCTCGGATTGCTTCGGTTCGAGTCTCCCGTCGAATGCGTTGAATTTTTGAGACTGAAGAAAATTATTATTATTGCTTCCCGAGGTTTCCCGGTATCCTCCCGTATTATTTTTCCCCGATTCGGGATACATCCAATTCGTTTGATGCCAAAACCCGTGCTCGTAACTGCTGTTGGAAAAATTCGATTCCGACGACGTCGGCTCTTGATAACTCTTACTTCGACCCGGCTCGAAATTGTTCGTTTGAAAATTTTGCGAATTGGCGTTGTTGAATCGACCGGATTCGAAATTCAAATTAGAATTTTGAAAATTACTCGAATAGTTGGGATTCAAATTGGAATTCGCGTTTTGAAAATTGGTACCCATTGTCGAACTTTGATAATTCGACGATACTTGTCCGGGTGGACCCGTCAACCTTTGATTCGATCCCATTCTCCCGTTACCGGTTTGAAAATTAGAATTCGACCTATCGAAATTGGGAAAATTCGCATTGACGTTGCTCGATTGATAATCAAAATTTTCGGAATTTCGAAATCCCGTATTATGAAAATACGACGAACTCGAAGTGAAAACTTGCGATTTGTTGTCTCTAGAATAATTCGAACTCGTGTTATTATTATTATTATTACTGCTGCCGTTGTTGTTGTTGTTGTTGTTATTACTATTACTATTATTATTATTATTATTATTGTGACTCGGATTTTGAAAATTGCTTAAGGGATAGAATTCGGGATTGAATTCGTGATTGTAATCGTATGTTTTGGACAATTCACTTTGATTGAAACTAGAATTGTTTGAATTTAAACTAGAGTTAAAACTTGAGTTTATCCCGGATTCGTTGGAATTTGTTTGATTAAAACTTGCGTCCCTTTGTCCGGAAGAATCGAAATTCTGAGTTGCGTTCCCGTATTGAGCATGAAGTGGATTCCCGGTACTTCCCGAATGTGGAAAAAACCTTTTCGTTTGAAAATTGTTTGTCGATAAATCCTCCAAGTTGTTCAAAGGATTCTTATTGAAAAGCGGATTCGGGTATCCGTGGTGATTATCGTATTCGTTTCGAAAACCGAATTGATTCGAGTGAAAACTTCTCCCGTGAAAATTTTCATGGTTGACACTTTGATTTGAAAAGTTTTCGTTATTCACAAATGACTCCGTGTTAAATTGATTTCTCATTTTTCCGTCGGAGGAAACGTTTGGTGGAATCGTTGCCGCAGGTTTTCGTCCTCTCCCGACCTGACGAAAAAGAAAAATTTACATTGGAAGGAAAACCGGAAAAAAAAAGTATGAGAAAATCAAATGTAAGTGGGGGGGGGGGATTCGTTTACCTTTCGCGCATTAGTTTGACGAGCTTTTCCACCTCTGGAACCCGGTCCTCTTCGGGGCCAAGGAAAACCTCCTGGCGGTTGTTGATTCGAACCGTCATTTTCCGAATTTTGAGGCTTGTACGGAAACTGAGGGATTTGAAGAGAGGGAGGCAAAGTTTCCTCAAGATCCAAATCTATTTCTTCTCCTTTTCTTTTTAAAAAGTTATACAAAACGTCGGGGTGATTCCATATCTGCAAGAGAAACGTTTCATTTGTAATTTCTACTCTTGTGGTACCAACGCAACAAACGTCAAGTCGGTTAGTCAAGAGATAAAAGAAAAAGTTACCTTGCAACAAACGGCAAAAGCTTTCAGAGGATTCGGGACTGCTACCGTTCGGACCACTTCGTTCATAAAAGTGTCGTATAGTTTTCTTTGAAATGCAGTAAATCTCAAAAGTAAAACGTATTCTTCCTTTTCGGGTAGGGTGCTTTGCAATACGGCGTGACTCCTCCTCTGAACGAAACCTTCCAATAGAGAATGTAAAACGTGAGCCCTGTATCTCATCAGTCTTTTATCTTGTGGAGTGGAATCTATGCACTGTCCGTTTTGTATAGGCCTCTCGAACATGTTACTAAATTCGGTTTTGGTTCCAAGATAATTTGGACGAACGAAATCAACCATGCACCAATATTCAAGCAAATTATTTTGAAGAGGATAACCGGTGAGAACGATTCTCCTTTTTGTGCGGATTTGTTTTAAAGCCTGCGACGTCGATGCGTGACTATTTTTTATTCTATGCCCTTCATCGCATATGACTAAATCGGGTCCGGGAACGACCAAGGCTGAGTAAACTTCTTCTATGAGTTCTTTGTTTTTTAAATCCGTTTCTTCGAAATCCCGTTTTTTCTTTTTCGATTTGTGGGATTTTTTAAGGGATAACAAACGGAAAAGTTCGTAGCCCATCAAAAGAACTCCGCCCGCTTTTTGCCAGTCCAATATGACTTTGGCTCTCGCGTGTATGTTTTTCAACGATTCGTTGACTATGAACAAATCGAAATCCCGGCATCGCATTTCTTCCGACGATTCACCCTTCGGTAGCCACATGTTAAATTCGGCCAACCAATTTTGAATTGTGTTTATCGGCATGATGCAGAGTATAGTTTTCGCTGAGGTGTACCTTAGAAATATATCCGAAAATGATACGATTTGCAAAGTTTTTCCCAAACCCATTGAGTGAGCTAATATACATCCGAAACCTGCCGATGATGAAAATCGTTCGATGGATTCGATAACGTTATCGTATAAAAAACGTATTCCACCGATTTGATGAGGTTTTATTATTTTTGCGATTTGAGGAGCAAGGTATAAATCCGATTCGGATTCCGGATGACCGACATTGACAATGATGCGACCTTTTTCGTCGGGAATATTGTATTTATCATTTGTGTGCATGCCGGAATTCGTCGGATCTTCCTCGGGTTCGGATTCATCTTCGTCCGAGAGTACTATGCAATCATCTTCGGAATCCGATGAAATTGTCACTACGTCACCTTTCTTTTTTTTCTTATCGTCCACAGGTTGATCTTTTTTAATTATCGGAGCAATGGAAACGGATGGCGTGACCATACCTTGTTTGAATAATGTTTTAGTTATCTGAGGTTTTCCTAATATCGTTTTATTTTTTGAATTTTTAAGGAGTTCTATCATTTTTTTATTGTTTAAACTAGTTTGCTCGCCGTTACTCAGTTTCACCAAAACAGAATTGGGCAATTTTATTTTCGAACTTTGAACTTGAGAAGACACAGAACTTGTCTTTAGTATGGATGTTTGCGAATTCCCTTGTAAAAGCGATAAAACTTTATTTTGATTTTTTTGATTTTGACGATTGAGAGCTATTTGCCTTTGAACTTCCCTGATGATTCTTTGCTGTTCTTGTAATCTTTTCAATCTCTCCGCTTCCTGCCTCTGGGCAGATAAAGTCGCTTCATCTAATTTCGTTTCATCCATAACTTCCCTAATGTTCTTTCTTAAATTGGCATTTGTCACCTTTGATTTATCAAGAGTTTTATCCTTGGCTTTCTTTTCATCTCCCTCCTCACCACGGTTATTGTCCTCGTTATTTTCACCATTACCATCATCATCGTCATCATCGTCATCATCATCATCATCGTCGTCATCGTCATCGTCGTCTCCATCTTCATCGTCATCCCCATCACCATCGGCGTCAAGTTTGTAATTTAAATCGTTTTCATTTTTGTTACCTTCATCTTCATTTTTATCTGGGTCACCGTCTTTTTGTGCTTCATCCAACAATTTTTTCAATTTTTTTTTCTTCTTTTTCTTCTTCTTCTTCTTTCCTAATTTTGCAATTTTTTTCCTTTCCCTTTTTCTCTTGCTCTCATCATCATCATCTTCATCATCACTGTAATTACTGTCACTCAATTTCCGTTTTCCAATTCTTTTTTCAATATCTTCGGAAATGATTTCTTCATCTTTGACTTCTTCTATTTCACCCTCTAGTTCACCTTTTTTCATCAATTCCACTAATTCAGTACAAGCTAAATCATTAATGTCATCTTTTAAGTCAGATTCATCATCACTTTCTTTAATTAAATCTTTCAATTCTGCTTTAACAATACTTTCTGGACATTCTTCTTCGTTAATCATCTGTTCATCTTCATTATCACATAAATTATTCACAACATCACTTCTTTTTTCGAATAAGTCATCTTCGACCACTGTAATGTCATCCGATTCCGACTTGAGGAGATCTTCATCACCACTATCATAATCTACATCATCATCCTCGTCGACATCATCCATCGTAGATAGGGGTAAAGAAATTTTGTTAAAAAATTTTCTTTTACAGTCTTCTTCCATTTTATCATCATTTTCTAATTTTATGTTTTTCACATCCACAAAATCCCTGATTTCATCCGATGAGATTTTTTCCAGAAAACTATCCTTATTTGCCGAAGGATTTTGAACAATTTTTTGTATGGTGATACTCGGATTATTACTTTGATCTAGAGATAACATATTATTAGTAAATGGAGCATTGGGTTGAGATTCACAATCCGGTCTTTTCCTTCTTTCTATGCTAATCCCGGAAAATTTAGATAAATCAGGTTCTATCTTATCTATTTGAATACCTTGTTTTCTAAAAGAATCAATTTTTTGAAATTTAGCTATGCTCACACCTGCATCATTTACTTGCGTCATTTCAACATCAGATTTTTGACCAGATTCCAGATCGACATTAACGCTTAAATTTATTTCTTGCGAATGAGTTGTTTGTTGTGAAGATGAAGAACGATCATCATTTGTCTCATTGACGCATATACCTTGATTTTGAACATCGATGTTGGTACTAATGTTTTCAGGCATGTGTTGGACATTGTATGGTTTATCAAATGTACTTGTTATTCCTAATTTACTTAAATTCTTATTAAAATTAAGTTCCGTAGAATGAGTTGATTGAGTCTGGTTTATTAAGTTAGTCTCATCATCATTATCATTATCTTTTATCAAATCAGAATTAACTCTTGTTATTTGATGATTGGATTGTTGTAAATTATTTCCCCCATAAGGGGAAGAAGAATCTAATGAATTCTTTGGTTTTGATATTCTTCTTTCTATAATAACATCACCAATTTTTGTGACAATTTTTTCCATTTTTTTCAATTGTATTTTTATATATATATATATATTTAATTAAAACTTATAACAACACTTATGTCAACAACATTCATTCTCATCTTGTTGTTGAATAACCTAAAAAAAAAAAATAATTTTTAATACATTTTAATTACTTTTAATAAACGTTTACTTTTACTACTTTATAACTCGTAAAATAATAATCAAATATACAAAACTAAACGATAATAATAATTCAAATTAATACGAAAATGTGAATTTTTAATGAGAGAGAGAAAGAGAAAAAAAAAAATTTAGATCATAATTGACAAAGAAAACTTGATTCAATCAAAGGAAACTTTTTTTTGTCTTAACTGTAAAATTATTATTAGTGTGTCAGATCAAAATTTTTTTCTCCAAAACGATTACAAATAATTTATTAAAATGTCCAAACGTTACGTTATATATACGAAATTTTCTTTTTTTTTAAACTATTTAATTATTTTTTTTTTTTATTAGAATAAATTACGATTGCTTTATTTTTATATATATATATATAAGTATAGAAAATTTGAAATTTGATTCTACTTTGATATATATTTACCTTTAGAAAATTTATATTGAAATCATTTTTTTATTTTAATGGTGATATTATACGTTTCACAAATCGGTGCGTCATCAATAATCGATGAAGCACACTTTTTATAACATAATTACGTATTATTAATAACTATAAATAATAATTAAGATATATAAATTAAAAATTTGTAATAAAAAATAAAAAATAAACCCAAACAACCAACACCTAGAACAAGATGGCCGCCGGTCGTTTATAATGTTAAAATATATATATATTAATAACGATATATATATCCATTTGAATAATAAACGTTTATCAAATTTTTATTCATTTTACAAATAAAATAATAATAATAATAATATTATTAAAACTTAAATCGATCGATTAATTTTTTTTATCGGAATATATACATGTAGTAAAAAAAAAAAAAAAAAAATATAAATAATAATAATAATAAACAGTTCGTAATACTTTTTTATTGGCAAACATTTCGAATAAATAATAATAATAATAATAATAACTTTTTTTCCTTTGACATTTGATAGTGGCACTATGAAATGTAAAAAAAAACACAAAGGTGACGGGTAAGTGCTGTCACCTGGTATTTAAATTATTAATTAATTATTGCATTATAAATATGCAATGAAAAAAATAATAATAATAATAATAATAAACAATGAAAGTTTTTTTCTAAAATTAAATTAAATTACGAACGATATTTTTTTTTCTTTTCAATTAATTATATAAATTGAAATTATTATTATTATTATTACGGGTTAAAATTAATTTAAAAACGTAAACGATAACTTAAACAAAAAAATAAAATAATAATAATAAAATGGGAGGAAAAAAAAAACCAGGTCGTTAGTGTCCTTGTACGAAATCCAAGTTAAAAAAAAAAAAATCGAAAGTGCTACGATTTCAATATCAAATATATATATATATATATATAAATTATAATTCCATTAAATAATCGTAAATTGTTCGAGCCAAATATATTTAAAAAAAAAAAAAAAAAAAGTGTGACACGATTAATATGCTACCGATCGAACTCGCCCGCGTAATAACTCTTTATTCATAAAAATAATAATAATAATAATACTAAATATTTCGAGATTTATTATTATTATTATTATGGTCACTCTTAAACACGACAAGGCTCTTATTTGTCGGGATTTTTAAGCATTTATCCCAGGTTTCTACCCTATTCCTTAGGGACAAATACTCGAATTTCGGTGGTGCTACTTATAATATTTTCCGAAGAATGTGGGCCGTCCCACATAGTGCGATTTCCTGGATGGTTTCTTCTTTTAGGTTCTTTAAAATCTTCTTTAAATTTCCTTTTTCATTGAATGTGGCATAGCTCCCAATGATGCTCCCACGGGAACCGGAATCGTTTCTGTTTTCGCTCTCCTCACATCCTGGCTATTTCAATTTTATTATTGTTATTATTTTAATTCAACCCGAGATTCCATGCTTGCACTTGTAGAAGTTTTATTTCCAAAATTCTACCCGATTCCTTACGAATAAATGTTTCGATATTAATTTTTTCTTAGATTTGTCCAGAATATTCTCCAGTCTTATCCAGACTTTTCCAGTTTTCTCCAGATTTTCTCCAGGCTTCTCCAGTTTTCTCCAGGATATTTTTAGACTTCTCTAGGCATATCCAGACTATTCTAGTTCTCCAGTTTTCTCCAGACTTTTCCAGTATTCTCCAGAATTTTTTTCCAGACTTCTCCAGTATTATCCAGAGAAACTTCCCTAATCTTCTAAACAGCCAGCAGGCTTTTTTCTATACTTTTCCAATTTTATTTTCATTTACTTTTCCAGATTTTCTCGGGACTTTTCTTGTCATTATTATTAATTTTTATTATTATTGTTATTGTCACTCTTAAACACGACAAGGCTCTTATTTGTCGGGGTTTTTAAGCATTTATTCCAGGTTTCTAACCGACGATTCCTTAGGAATAAATGCTCGGGTGCTATTTATAATATTTTGCGGAGAATGTGGGCCGTCCCACATAGTGCGATTTCCTGGATGGTTTCTTCCTTGAGGTTTTTTAAAATCTTCTTTAAATTTCCTTTTATTGAATGTGGCATGGCTCCCAGTGCTCCCACGATGTTATTATTATTATTATGATTATTATTATTATTATTATTTAGATTTAGCAAAGGTGAAAAATGGGAATGATAAGAACAATAAGATTCCAGATTGATAAGAAAGAATAATTAATAACGTAATTATTATACGAATTTAAATATTTTTTTTTTCACATCATTATCATTATGTATATATGTTATTATTATTATTATCCGTAAAACGCGTAAAATTTAAAATTAATAATAATAATAATAATAATAATTTTTAAAATGGCGATAAGATAATCATCATCATCATCGTTTTCTGTTAATAATCATTGAAAATTTCAAATTTTTTTTTTTTTTCTAGAATTTTCGAAAAGTTATTTTTTCTTTCTTCCCCCCCTCCTTCCCGTTTAAAAAATTCATTATTATTATTATTATTATTATTTTTATTATATTATTTAAATGGCGCTTAAAAAAAAAAAATTACACACGTTGATGATTTCCTTAGCGAGTATATTGTCATGGCCGAAATCCATATTTTGAAATTATTATCATTATCATCATTATCATTATCATTATTATTATTATTATTACGTAATGATATTTTTCATATATGAAAAGTTTTCACAAATTCATTATTATTATTATTATTAATTATTTTTCTTCTTTCGGGGGGAAAAATACGAGAATGGATTAAAAGTTTTATTTATAAAAAAAAAAATAATAATAATAATAATAATAATAATAATAATAAGACGAGATTTTTATGATAAGGATGGTAAATTTGATTAGGGAGGTGGATAGGGGAAGGGGAGAGGAAGGAGGGAGGGGGAAAAGAAAAAAAAACTAACGAGTATTCATATTTTTTTTATTTAAAATATTTATTTTAAAAATAATAATAATATTACATTTAATTTTTCTACTTAATAATAATAATAATAAATTTGAAGATATTAAGGGTTGTTTTTATTTTTAAACACCGGAAACAAAATAATAATAATAATTAAAATGAAAAAAAAAAAGTTACACAAACACCCTTAATTTTCTAAATTTATAAAAAAAAAAAAAAAAAGATATGATTCTAAATAAATTATTTATAAAATAAAATAAAAAATTACATTATTTATAACTAATAATAATAATAATAATAATAATAATTTATTTAAAATTCATAGGAAAATTAAAAAAAAAAAATTTTCAGGTATCGAATTTAAATCTACGTTATTAAAAAATACGAAACAAACGAACAAACGAACAATTATTTTTGTTTGTTTGTTTGTTTGTTTGTTAATGGCGATTGTTTTATTTTTCAATCGTTTCGTACATTTTTTTTTTGTTGGGAAAAAATGATTTTAATTTAAAAAAAACGACTTCGCCATTATCGTTTTCTATAAGAATAATAATCATTCTAACCCCCGAAACTTATAAAACATCGCCATTACGTTAACGTAAATTTCAATCGATATAATTCTATTATTATTATTATTATAAATGATGATACATAGTGAAAGTGATACCATTACAACACGATATAAATAATAAAAAAAAAAAAAATCAGCCGTTATAATAAATATTATTATATATATACATGGAATAAATATATGGAGAAGGCAAACAAACGAACAAACGATTGATCCTTTCATTGAAATGATACGGGGAGGAGAGAGAGAGGGAGGAGAGGGGAGAGGTGTGGGGGAGAAGAGGAGAGTGTGGGGGAGGGAGAGAGGGAGGGAGAGAGAGAGGAAAAGGATCGATTTTAAATTAATTAATTAATTAATTACGTTTTAAATGTTCTTCTTTCGTCCGCCTTTCGTTATTCGAATCCCCATCATCGTCTTCGTATAACAATGCGTGATCCATTTGACATATGTTTGCAAAACCGTTGAAAAAAACTTTATTACCGGTTTTCTTACTACCACCACCACCACCATTTTCTTCTACGTTTTTCCTAGATGAATGTACGACTCCATTCGTTTTGACGTCTTTCTCATCTTCCGATTTTTTCTTTTCGTTTGCTATTTTCTACAAAAAACAAAAAAAAAAAAAAAAATTAACGCTAATTAACCGTACGATCGTTTAAAATAACGTATTCATCATTATTATTATTATTATTATTATTATTATTATAATTAATAATAATTTACCTTTGCTCTTTCTTTTTTAAGGTAAGCCTGTTTGTAAAAATCGGCAAACAAAAAGTAAAACATGATGGCGTGAAGTCCGATCCACCAAACGAATGCTTGAGGATAATTACATTCGATGAAAAGAAGTTGAAATGCGTGGATCATAACCAATACGAATTGAATCTGTGACAAAAGGAAACGGAAATAACTTTCCCAGGTATCTAATTAAAAATCATAGAGTAAATAAACGTATGGGGATATTATTTATATACCATTTGTAAAGCCGTTAAATATTTTTTCCACCAGAGGTATTTTTGATATTGTGGACCCATTGCAGAAAACATGTAATACGAGTACATGATTATGTGTACGAATGTGTTAAGCAAACCGAAAAACGTGCTGTGACCACCTACAATAGCAAAAACAATCCATTAATTAATTAATTAATTAAATTAATTAATTATTTTGTATGTGTTACCTGGTGTGAATTTAACACCGAACCAAACGCTCATCGGCATAACGGCATGATGTGTAACGTGTAACGTGGATATGTGATCGTTTTTTTTTCTCAATACGAAAAATATCGTGTCGAGAAATTCGGTAAATTTCGATATGAAATACCACCAACAACCGCTCGCCATCTTGAAAAACAAAAAAAAAATTTTTAATCGTGTCGTTTGTTTGTAAAAAAAAAAAAAAAAAAGGTTTTCTTAAACTTACTCTCATGGCGATTGGTGACGTAGAATAATCAACTGGTTGACATCTAAAACTATAAAACGTGAACCATCCCGATTGAATACACTAGAGAGAGAGAGAGAAAGAAAATTTTTTTTAACGGTTACGACTGAGAACAAACAAAGACAAAATTATACAAATGACAAACTCACCTCGTAAAACAACCACGTGCTAAATATAACTTGTATAAAATTATAAATAATCAAAACGTTTTTCAATTCGAACGGTTTTCTATTTTCCATCAATTTCGGTCCGATCACCTGTAATAATTTTATTATTATTTCCGGTTTTTGATTATCCCGCCATTTTTTTTTAAACAAATAAAAAATTACCTTGACTATGTAAACAAACGATACGCATATTATAAATGTCGGTAAAGGGCTACTCATCAACGGCCAATTTTTTACTCGTGGATTTAGAAAAAAAAAAAAAACCAATTTGATACCTTATTATTATTATTATTATTATTATTATTATTATTATTATTATTATCGGGGGCGGTGTTTATAGCTATTGCCAGATTAAATTTTATTATCAATTGTAAAATGATTATTATGAAATCTATGAGAATCGAATGCCAATTTATTAATAAATATTCCGTTAAATCGTCACTTTGTTGAGTTGTTTGTTTGTTTGTTTGTTTGTCTGTTTGTTGAAAACAAATTTGACGTCAATCAATCCCAATGAACGTAGAGAGTAACAATTAATAATAATTTCGTGATAAAAAAAAAAAAAAAAACGTTAGACTCACCACTTTTATTCTCCATGAGATCTATGTAATTATCGATAATTCTGTGCATCAAGTACGCCATGATTATTTAATTATAATAATGATGATTAATCACTGAAAATAAAAAAAAAAAAAATGAAATTTTAAAATCTGACGTGACGTGAAAAACAAAGACAAAATGCGGTGTGTGTGTGTGAGAGAAAAAGAGAGAAAGAAAATATCAGTTGAACTATTTCCGGTACGAATGGGAGGTAATTGTTGTTAAATTTTACGCGCGCCATTTTTTTTTTTTTTTTAAATTCACTCAATTAAAAATTTACGTCATTTTCTTAGTAATATGCAATAATAATAATAATAATAATAGTATCGATTTGGAAGGAAAGGGGGGAGGGGGGAAACGAAAAACGAAGAAAATTATAAATAAAAATTATTATCGACCTCGAAAAGTTTGCACAAATTATTATTATTATGAGTTGTATCGGAAAAAATTTTTTTTTTTTTTTTGGGGGGGGGTTACCGGATGTTAAAAAAAATTTTCCGGGAAAAAACCGTTAGTTTAAATCGTCGTTAAAATATTATTATTATTATTATTATCGTTTTCATTATGTGTTTAATAATTGAAAAATTTGATTGTAAAATTTTTTTTGGATGGTGCAAATGGGCGTGTGATTGGTGGAGGCGGTGGTGGTGGTAGCGGTGGTAATGATGGTGGTATTCGGTGGTACATCCGGTGATTTGAAAAAAACATTAACGTGTATTTTTTTTTTTTTTTTCGACGTGTGATTTTAATTAAAACGTGTTGTTAACCTTCGTCAGGGATAAATTTTAATATTTTAAGGGTAAGGGCCAAGGGTAAAAATTTTTAATTTTTAATTCCACCACCACAAAAAAAGTTTAAGGGTGTTATCCCACCCCCCGTACCTTTAAAAAAAAATAATTACGATAATATAATATGTCGTTAGAAAAATCGAGCAATCGACGTGTGGATTACGTTTCACATTCGATAAATCGTTCGATACAAATCGATAATTTAATTCGTGACGTAATTATATTTCGCCTGTTCATCGTATTTTAAAAAATCAGTAAAAAAAAAAAAAAATTAATTTTTTATAACGACCGACTTAATTATTTGATTTTTTTTTTTTTTTTTTGCGAAATTAGAACAAACGAACAAATGCAAAAGAATTTTTTTTTTTTTTTTTTTTGGGTTAACGCCATCGTTTAACGCGGCGAAAAGTCAAAAGTCGTTCGATTCATTTAATTAACATATAAAAATTTCATAGAGAGTAAAAAAAAAATTCCGCGCGTGCAAACAAAAAACTTTAATTAATAATTTCGTTAAAACAAAAAAACAAAATGGAGCGTTCGTTAAAAAATCCGTTTCGAAATTTTTTTTTATAATGGAAAAATAATTGTCTTTTCGGATGTACGTAGCTTTTTGTTAAATTTTCAAAACATTATTATTATTATTATTTTTTTTTATTACGTTCGAACGTGTGTCCGATTTGTTTTTCGAACGTTTCGAAACTTCATTAAAACCGTAATAATAATAATAATAATAATTAATAATTAAAAAAAGTTTTTATTCGATTCGTTTACATATTCATCTCGTATTGATCGATTGTTGTTGTTGTTGTTGTGGTTGTTGCTGTTCTTATTCATTTCTGATAACAAACGATCGTTTGAGTATAAATGTGTAGAAAATCATAGAGATCGTAAAACAAAATGGCGGCCGATACAATTAAAAAAATTTTTTTTTTTTTTTTTTTTTAACCGTAAAATCGATCTCCGCGTGATTTTTTCCGGTAAATTATTATCATTATTATTATTATCATTATTATTATTATCATTATTATCATCATCATTATTATTATTTAATAAAAAAAAAAAAAAATATTTCACTGACCGAATTCCGTCGTACGTTATTGTGATATATATATTTTAAACGTGTCGTTATTATAAACTGGAATTACTCAATTCATAAATATACAAGCCGTTCGGTTTAGATAAATTCCAGTCGACTATGATATTTTTTTTATTTTGGAAATAATAGTAATAATAATAATGATTATGATAATAAATAAATATTTCACGGCAAACTTCTTTTTGGAGAAAAAACAAAACAATAATGATAAAACGAGTGGGGAGGTTCCAGTATTTTTCCATCGAAAAAATAATTATTTTTTATCATTAATAATAATAATGATGATGATAATAATAATAATAATTTTACGCGTTCGCATAAAATTTAAATTTTTTTTTTTTTTTTTTTTTTGTAACCACATAAAATTTCTATGCGGACGTAACAAAAAAAAAGAGCAACCTTGATATCAGGTAAAAATCGATCAGGTTTATCAACAAAAATTCATTGTCAATAACCGCGCGTAATACTAATAATGATGATGATGATGATGATGATGATTATGATAATGATAATATTTGAAGAAAATTGTAATTTTTTCAAACAGAAGGGATTCGATAAAAAATTTTTAAATATTTATTAATATACATACAATTCCACGATCTATGGCCTTAACCATATATATAAAAATTTATATGTGTGATAATTGATAATATCCAAAATGACAATGATGATGATAATTTGATGTTTTTTTACGAAATACGACACGTGTGACTGGAATCGAAAAAAAAAATTTTTTTTATTTAAGGACAAGTAATCGATTATGTAGATTTTTTTTTTTTTTATAATTTTTAAAGACGCAAAAATTTTTTTTTACGATCAATAATTTATTTATTATTATTATCATCATCATCATCATCATCATCATCATCATCATCATGGATTATTATAATTTAATCGATTTTAGAATTTTTTTTTTTTTTAAACAAAACGAATGGAAGAAAATTTTAAACGATTTGTAAAGAAAATTTTGTTTTTCTAATGTTGGCAATTTTTTTTTTTTTTACAGATTTTTTTAAAAAATTGGAAAAGTTTTATAATTATACAACTACAGTGAAAAAAAGTGAAAAAGGAAACGGAAACGGATTAAAACAAAAAAAGAAAATTCTTCAAACAACGATTCAACATTAAAAACAAACGATGTAAGTCGATATTATTATTATTATTATTATTATTATTTTGGCATGGAGTTATATTTTAAATGAAATTGAAAAAAATTTGATTTTTATGTCACGGGTGCCAACAAAATCGAGAAATTTAGCAACAATACGAATTAATTTTTTTTTTTTTTTATCATATGCGTTTCTAAATATTTTTATTTAAAAAAAAAAAAAAAATGTGCGTCATATACATACACCTTCGCGAATTTTTTTTTTTTTTTATACCCGCGTTTAGATGCTGCTAATAATAATAATGATAATGATAATGATAATAATTTTATATTAAATTGAAACGTAAAAAGAAAAAAAAAAGCGAAATTCCGCGAGCCTGGTTTTTTTTATTAACATATAATGATTTACCTTCCAGGCTCGTTTATTATTTCCGGTTAATTTTATTTAATTAAATCAGGGAAGCAGAATTATAATAATAATAATAATAATATTTAAATGATTTTCAAGAGCAACGAGTAGTAGTAGTAGTAGTAATACGCTATTTTTTTTTTTATTTTTTTATAAAGAATGGAAATTTTTTAGGTACGTCATATTTTTAATCGCATATACCTTAAATATTTTCATTATTGACTTCTTACGACCGTGACATTAAATGAAGGAAGGTATACATCATTCGTTTTTTTTTTTTAACATAAGGAAAACAACTTTTTTTTGCGGAAAATTGCCCGGAAAATTTTTTTCAAACCCCCCAACCTTCGCTCCCCCCTCTTCGTTTTGTTAACGACCGTTAATTGATATCGAATTTTTTTTTTTGATTTAATTATTTAAATTTAAAGCCAAGGCTGTTTCTAACGTAATTTTAACAAAAAAAAAAAAATGTCGGTTGTAGACGTAAAATTAATTTTTTGTTTGTTTGTTTGTTTGTTATTTAAATTTTATTTTATGAGATTTTACGATAAAACAATTTTTTTTTGTTAAATTGAAATGAGAGTAATAAGGATCCGTTACGATGTTTTTTTTCAAAATGGCGGATGATGACGTTTAGAAAAATGACCAAAATTTTTTGACCATCATCGCGAGAGTGAGAGAGAGAGAGAGAGATTCACTTTTTTTTTTTATTCTCTCCTTTTCTCTTAAAGGAAATCATATTCGAATGGCGTATCGTCAAATTATGTCGTTATTTTTTACGATCACGTTGAAATGTCCAAGAAAAAATATCATCATTAAATTTTCTTTTCGTGAGAGCTTTTTATAACCGACCCGATTAAATCTAAAAACTTGAAATAGTTTTATGTATGTTT